AATGAGTTACAAAGACAATGAAGGTATAACGTGATGTGAACATTTAGGGTGAACATGAACACATGTTTCCACATGTGAACATGTATTGTTTTGTTTTCCCTATTGACATTTAAATTGCTCAAAACTACATGAAAAGTGTCCAGATAGGGTTTTCTTCACTGGCTCTGTTTGACTCTCTTACAGAACCGACTGCTTCCAGTCCGAGCTCATAGCTTGCAGTAGAAGTACAGCTCCTGTGGTCAAGAGAAGGTGGGTGACAGTTCAGCACAGCCCCAGTGTTTCCTTTATTTAACCTGTTGCTAGTTACTGAGCTGGACACTGTTGTCATTTGAATGGTCCTGGTTTGTTATAGCTCTGTTCCGACTGTGGATTTCTTGGTCCTGCTAGATAAGCTGGACATGGATGTCATTTATGTCATGAGGAAAAGGGGATTTGATTTTAACAGCAACAGACTTCAAACCTAAACTGCCAGGTTTCTCCTTGAATGAAATCTTGAAGTGCTGTGAAACGCCCTGTGCTCTTAGTTTCAGTTTGTGAAGGCTAACTGTTCAGAGACAAACAGGGCCAGTTGGACCATTCAGCCTTTCTTCAACAACTTTTAACGTTTATTAAAATGTATTTATTGATTGATTTATTGATTTTGGAGCACAGTTTTGGACCATTAAAGAAAAGCTGCAAGGACTTCGTCCACGTGAGCAATCTGTGTGTATTTGCCTGCAACACGTCCCATAATATTAGGGCCAAGAGGAGGTGTCCATATACATGCAGTTTACTAATGGAAGTGACAAACAGTCTGGTATGCAGAGATGGTGCAAATGGTCACATGTCCCAGATTAGACTGAGTTTCACACTGTGGTGTCACTTACACCCAGACGTATCCACCATCTCTGTGCATCTGTTTATTCTTGTCACACTCATTGACCAATGTTTCAGAATGCTTTTTGGGGTCAAGGGTCATATTTATTTGAAACTAACAGTCACTAACTGCAGGGGCAGTTACTTTTAGAGGTAAGGTCAAGACAGATTAAAGTTTAAAAAGAAAAAAACAATACACATATGATAAAAAATAATTTGAATGTTTTCAGCTAAATTTGAATGTTTAGTTACTGAGAACAAAACCAAGAATAATGTGTTGTATTTATTCTAATTCCTATGAATTGATGTGTGTATTAACAAGGTACGTACAGTGGGAACCACGATGGTGAGCATACAAGCGACCCCGGCCAGCAGCAGAGACGGTGCGCAGGTTTTTTTCCGCCCAATTCGGTCCATTGCATAACAGCCAACTAGATAAGAGGGCAGCTCCACTGCACCTGGAAGAAAGCCAATCACAGCACAGTCAGAGGCTGGTAAGTCGCTGCAAACAAACAAACATCTGTTATTTAACAAACTCTTCCTGTATTCTTGGAATAAAAAAAGAAAATATTCATACAAGCACAGAAATACTTCTGACGACCCTTTTATCATAAAAATCTTCATATTTACTGATATGTCATTTTCCAAAAGAGAGACAACCTGAGACTTCAATTTCAACAACACTGCAACACAAACAGAAACGTTCTTACCATATACAAGACTACACATAATAATAATAATAATAATAATAATAATAATAATAATACGTTCTGGCAAAGGTAGATAGTCCCAGACATGTGCAACATTTTTGCAGTCAGTGCGGTAAATTTAGGACAGTCTGGTAAGAGATACTGAGGAAAATGAGACATGGTGTGGAGGTGGTATGAGAAGGGGGTAAAAAAACATCTCAACCTTTGGTAATTTTGCTGCTGTTTAAAATGTGTATATCTAAAACAGCTAAGTTCGCTATCATTCAGGGTGAATGCTGCGTTTATATCAGTGTTGACGATTGTCAAACACTTGTAGGGTGCAGTCGATTGTTCTATTTTTGCCCACTAGACGGCGATATTCTGCACAAAATCAAATTAAAAATAAAAACTGTTTATTTGGTTAACATTTTAAACGCACATTAAAACCTTCATAGCTTGCCTTAGAAGACTAACTCTCTTACCACTAGATGAAGAACTAGATCAAGTCACTAATGAATTATAAAAAATAATAAAATGGTACACTTTTGATGAATTTCTAATACTTTACTTTTCTCCTTAAGACTTTTGTCAGGCAAAGATAGACAAATCCCACTTGTATTTAAAAGTATCTATTATATATATAAATCTCCATTTATATATATACTTATATATAATTATATATATTATATATAAGTAACACTGTCTCTTACCTGCAAGAAAGAGGTTAATGTATTGGTTTCCTCCAAGGTTGACAGAACCCAATGAGAAGACATAGTAGCCCAAGCTGCCAATGAACCAGATTGCCCAAACTGTGCAGGTACGGGTCGCCATCCTCCAGCTTCCAAACAGATCCAGGATGGAGAGCCTCCTCTCAGTATTTGCCGTCTGCCCATCTGTCTCCTGTTCCAACAGAGCTGTGCCGTTCTCCCTGTCTCTTGAGTCCAGGAGCTCCTCTGCCTTAATGTTACATTCAAGATCATTGACGCGAGCAATGGTGTCCAGCAAAGTCTGAGTATCTTTGTAACGTCCCTTTGTCATCAGGTAGAATGGCGTCTCAGGGAACCTCCAGCAGAAGAGGAGGAACGGTGAAGTGCAGAGGGATAGAATGATCTGGTAGATCCACCAGACCCGCACCAGGTAGCCCACCAAGGCCACAATCATGACTCCGACCGCAAAGGCTGCATGCACGTGCATGGAGGTCCATGTGCGAACCTTGATGCCGGTGAATTCAGTGACGTAGACAAACACAACCACAAGGTAACCGCTGGACACCTGCCCACAGCAAAGTAAGAGGAAAGGATTCATTAGTAATTAAAGTAATTAAAGTGCAAGGAGTTTGCAGTAATTATATAAATATATAAATTATTATATTATATAAAATAATTATATAAATATAAAAAATAAAACATAAAAGGTCAGAAACGTCTGAGTGGCAAGCTGTTTCATAAGTGGACCAACAGGTGGCAGAAATGCAATTGAGAGACAATTCAATCTACTTATTTTACCCTGTACTTATCTTGTGTGTTGTCACTGTGCATAAAGAAATTCACTGGAGATAATGTCTATTTATGTGACACAGTACATGGCATTTAAATCTTATGCAGTGAAATCAAACCCATCCATAGCTCCCCCTGCAGGCAATAATTAGTGAATATTTCCCATTCCTAGAGTATTGCATTGAAAACATTAAATATAAACATATATATTTAGATGTACAAAAGTGTTTAAGATTCTACTTTATAAAGGCATCATTTGATCTACGTGCAGCCACACTTTACGAGCTGCTCATGAGCACTGGCAGCAGCCTGCACCAGTTGAGAGTCTGACTGTATGTGACAAACAACAGCTGTAGTTACGGAGGTCTGAAGGGCGGTCTGGGGGATGGTAGAAACATGGAGGAGGGAACTGAGAGCTGACTGTTTTTACTGCCACGCTGGCTGTTAACATTAATCACTCACCTTGTAAATGGTGTTTTACGCAGTATACACACGTAAAATAATACAAACAAGCATGTTGAAAGGGTCACATGAGGTCAGGGTTAAATGATACCATAACATTTAATTTAACAATTAAAACGCCACAACTGCAGGCCAGGCACAGTTAAAGTTGTTCCTCATTTTCTTGCATCTTTGTAAACTGTGACATTTTATTTATTATTTCTTTCTCAAACCTACATAAATAGTTCAGTTTCTTTTTTAGTTGTTTGGTAAATATTACAAAACTTGGCAGGAAAAAAGAGGAAAACAATATGTCACTGCAAAAAAAAAAATCATCATTAGCTGTTACTCTTATTTTAGTTAAATCTATACATGATGCAGTGGCTTGCAGTGCTGTGGATTCCACGTTGCCGTGAAGACACAGTCGCCATCGTGTGTTACATGATACCATGGGCCATAATGGATTACTGGGAAAATGGCCGCACAAAAATGCCCTACCATACACGGCACTGCTGTGCACATCACATGTTTGCACACATGCCGAACTCACCATGGCAAGGAGGAAACGCAGCACCACAAAGAAGTAATAATTCCCAGTGAAGGCTACAGCAACCCCCAGTCCAAACTGACAGAGGCTGGTGAACATTAGCACTCTCACACGACCAACTCTGGGGGAGAAATATGGAAACAGTTAAGAGGGAAGAACATGAAGAATACATATAAAAACACTTGAGTAATATTTGATTAGAGTTAAAAAACAAATGCCAGAGAAAAGTAGTGTGTTCCATACTGAGTCAAAACTGCAATATTACCTACAGCACAAACTACATCTGGTACTGGTTTCTACTGTGCAAAGGCTGCCAGTCAATTCAAGTGTTCAACCTGATTAATCACAGGTCGGCTGAGGATTCATTTTTTATTTTAGTCTACTCACGGTTAATTGTGATTATTTGAGTTAAGTCAGTATTAGTGAATATGAAAAGAATGTTTTACAGCTGTTTTTATTTGTGACTAATCCAAATTGAATTATTAGATTGGAAAAAATGCCAAGAAAAACATGTGAAAGTTCCATGGAGTTTCCATGGAGACATGAGGTCTCAATTTTACACTCAATTTTCTTTTTCTTTTTTTTCTCACCTGTCAGCAACGTCTCCAAACACCAGCGCTCCAACCAGGACCCCGAGCATAAACGTGGGCTGGCAGAGCTTGGCCAGCCATTCTTTCTCACACACCAGGTCCCAGTCCGTCACGATGCTCTGATAGATCTCAGTGTGGTCGTAAGCAAAGTTTCCATCACAGTCCTTCACTGTTTTGTTGCCATCAAAGACATACGTAAAGTCACTTGGGTTCAAGCGTAAGGCGCAGCGGCAGCGGCTCAGCTCCCACTGCTCTCCCTCGGTTGTCCTCACCACCAGGGGCCCGCTGCCTGATTTGAAGCCTGGCAGGAAGTCCTCCAGGCTGGATCCTGTCAGGTTACCATACAGGACATCGGTGATGTTTCCGGGCACGCCGCATACAAAGTTTGGTGTTTCCACCAGGAAAACAGAAGCCAGGTAGTGGATTCCACAGGCGATGGACTGGAAGACCGCAGCAAAATACAGACATGCCTGATATCTGGGAATAACGAAAACAAAAATGTGATGGCACAGGTCAACCTTGGTCAGCTGACCACAGTATAGTAGAAGAAGAAAATGTATTGAAGAATGTTTGCCTATTTCTGCCAAAGCCAGAGGGTGCAATAAACAGGGCTACATCTGGCACTTTAATCCAATTCTGGAATTACACACCCAGAGAGAGAGAGGGTGACAAAGGAGACAAAAAAAGAAGGGAGGGAGAGGGGGGGGGCAAGGAGAGAAAAAGAGAGATCAAACACATCTTACTTTAATAAGAGATAGTAAATGAATAAATAAGTTAATAAAAATCAGGACATAAAAGCTGTGTTCATGGCACCCCCTGCAGGCAAGGGAGAGGTAGCCAAAAGTTGTATGGTCGTAGAAAATATTACTTTACTGCTCATGTGATTTAACTGGGGTATTAGACATGAGAGGCAAATGTTGTAAAAAAGAAAAAAGAAAATACAGTTAATAGAAAAAATGAAAAGTAAAATGTATAAATATTTTTATACGATTTGGCACATGAAGAACCAAAGTTGTTAGGAAGTGTTCGGCATGGAGTGCACGCTGCCAAAAATAGACACACGCACGTCTGGGAGCTGGAGAAATACTTAATGTTTCACAACGTTGGGGTGAAGAGTATTAGAAGTGAAGAAGTTCTACAGGAAATAACAACGTTTTACATACCTTTTAAAATGTCCGAGCTCGTCGAATATTCTCTCCACGGTCATGTTTGGTCAGTGGCGTGGCGCAGCTCCACCGTGGAACAGTATCTGTCTGTGTCCGAGTGCTGCAGGATAAATGATAAGGACCCTGGAAGAGGGGAGGCTACGAGGTTTGGGGCACTCGAGTACGACGACGAGCACGCGCGCACCCTGACGCGTAAATTACATCATAATGTTACTATGTCTTCGGTTTCATTGTTATTTCCAAGTTTTGCTTTTAAGTTCAAGTTTTAAGTTCAAGTCAATTTTTCAATTTTTTTTTTTTTTTGGTAAAGAAATAATTCCTATCGTTGTTTAATCCAAACATTCCCTTAACATTTACCCATTTAACTGATGTGATTTATTTTAAGACCAATTCTCCGATTATCCACAAAGAATGAAGTCCTTATCTAGTAAACCTTTTTTTTTTTTTTTTTAGTCGTGACAAAAATATTTTCGGTGTAATTTTACCATGACACCTCCCGACAGTCTGTGGGGCTGCAGGGGTGTGAAGATCACATTACGTTGTTCCGAGGAAAGATTATTTTAGCTACAGCAATTTTTCCAAAAAACTCACGAGTTCTGCTCGGTATTCTTACTTTGTGATCTGGGACTGCAGGTATTTCAGCAGTGATTTTTAACTTAAACCCTTCTGGGAGGGGACGGGACCGCCTGTTTCGACATGGTGATACCATAGGACTACAGAGCTGAATTTGACTCCAGTCCCTGTTGTACACATGCCAGGCCTGTATGTGGCGCTGTGTGAACCATGCTCTAACATAAAAAGGAAAGGAATCCACAGAGCATGTGTATAAAGCTTGCAAACTGTTGATAAACTAAAGTGGAGCACGAAAAACTGGACATGGCTAACTGCAGTGCCCTGGATAAATAGCCAAATAGCTGAAGTACCTTCTGCAGCACCCTGCTCCATCCACATGGAGACGCAAGCTCCATTACAGGAGTTCACCGCCCCCAAAACTCTGTCTGCGTCTAAACCCAAGTCCGAATCACCACTACAGCCCCCAGATCCTTAGTGTCTTCACTGTGTAATTTTCAGTTGATTAGTTTGATAACGATCACTTGTCTTGCTGATTCGTCAGGGAGAAAAGTTTAAGGAGGTAAAGAAAATGTCTGAACTGTGTGGTTGCCTGGCACTAGTTTTAGAACTGGTTTGTTCTTCTGGTTTTGCACAAACCAGTCACAGCCAGTGTCTGTGAAATAGCAAGAACTTGTCCAATGTATGTCCCTCCAAAAAAAGGACTCTGACTCTGTGGTATCTGTGTTCCTGGAAGAGAAAAGGGTTAAAAACATGGCCTCAGTCAAAAGTCAACACATTTTAACCTTTGCCTGCTTCAGTCACAACTGGTGACTTCCCACAGAGCAAACGCTCGACTTATCAGGACCAATGCTTCAGCGTTATGTTTGTTTAAAAAGGGAAAAGATGACATACAGTATCAGAGGTCTAACTATTACAGACTGCAGCAAAATGTGTAATGCCACTGAGGTTCTTAACCTGATAAAAACAAAATGTGTTTCTTTGATCTCACAGAGTAATGTAAGATATTTGTAACTTTAATAAATAATAATCAGTAGCAGAAACAGTTATTATGTTGCTGGACCGCTGCCTCTGTTCTAATGAGAGTATATTTTCTTTGTCTTTCAGAGAAACTATTTTGGGTTTATTTAGGTGAATATTTTATATTTTAAATTTGAAATACTATTTAATTACATCAGGTTACCAAGTTAGATTACTTTAATTTTAACATGTCACCTCCATCTTCTTCTCCATCATCATCTTCCTCCTCTTCTGCTTTTTCTTCCTTCTCTTCCTTGCCAGGGTCACACCAGGTCTGATGTCTGTCCCTAATTTAGGGGAAAGAAAACAGAAGATTAAAAAAGATGAAAAACGTCTTGCATTTTAAGGTATTTCTGGACT